GTTTCTTCAGAAAATATGTATGGATTTCCTCATCTGCAAGTGACTGGAAAAGGTCTGTCACTTCCGTAAAGAGTCACTCGGAATTCCGCACAGGCTGTGATTCTTTTCTTAGACAAAGAGACGCCTTAGCGCCTCTGCGCTTCAATCGATCACACATCTCTCTGGCAGCGTATCGAGTCCTCGACTGGCATGTGTGAGCGCCAAGTCCTGTCTAAGCCAGACGTAATCGATACACCAGTAAACCACACATTCACTGTTCACTCTCACAGTCTCTGGCTAAAGCACTAATTGTGTTTTACAAAGCCAGTTCTCCTTCACATTGTACAAATCTACACTTCAAAGAACTAGGACCTCTGGGGAATATATCTATTTGATTGAAATCCACCACATATATATATATATATATATTGTAGCGAGGCATACCGGTGCCACGTCGTCATGGTCAAGGATTCACCCCAGCTGGACCGTCATCAACACAGGATCGATCACAGCTGGACGTCATCAAGCAGAGAGACATATAAGCCTAACCCACGCCAGGAGAAGATGAGCTTCATTCACCCAATGACTCCCTGTGCTAATGCTTGTCTCCCTGTCTCTCCTCAACAGACTCGTGACGATCCCACATCCGACTACTCACTGTCCTTCACCTACTTCCCGGAGCACCAGAGCACCTCACCACGAAGAAGAGCACCATTTACACCCTTCTCACGTTGTAAATAAAGCACCCTCCGGGGACTTGTCTGTAAAACTATCCAACTGTGTCGCTGTTTTCCCTCTGCCTCGCTACAATATATATATATATATATATATATATATATATATATATATATATTCTAGTTATAATGGATTTAAAAAATATAGGTTTTTACTTCAAAGATACCAAATTAACACTGATATACTGTATGCTATATTTAAAAAAAAAAGACCAATTATTCAAGTAATAAAATAGTGACATAATATTTAAGCATGTATTAGTACTGTTAAAGTTCATTCTACAAACTTTATTAATAATATTTATACAGCGGGTAAAAAAAGTATTGAACTCATCCCCACTTTTTTCAGAAAAATATTTCTAAAGTAGCTGTTGCATTTCATCAGTCAGTAACTACCATAGTATTACATAAATACACAGAAGACAAAACTAAGTTTGAAAATTAAATGACACAGGGGGAAAAATTTACACATGAAGAAAGGGAGCTTGGAAAGCTCAGACAGCAGCTGAAATCTCACAATACAGCAACCTTGCCCCCGTCTGTGTTTATTAATAATAGCTACTCCAGCTCCCGATACCATACTGTACATTGTCAAATGATGAAGATGAAACCAAGGTCGAAATTTCAGCAACACAATGATCCCAAACACTGCCAAAAAAATCTGGTTTAGTTTCAGAATAGAAAATAAAGCTAAATGGAATGGCCTGATCAATCACCCGACCTGAATCCAATTGAAAATAATAACTAAAGATCATGTTAGTAAATACTATTCACTATAAATAAATAAATAAATAAATAAATAAATAAATAAAAACAAAAAAATACAGCTTAAAGGGGCTAATAATTTTGACCTTAAAATGTTTTTTTAAATAAATAATATATATATATATATATATATATATATATATATATATATATATATATATATGTGTGTGTGTGTGTGTGTGTGTGTGTGTGTGTGTGTGTGTGTGCGTGCGTGCGTGCGTGTGTGATTTTGAGATTTTGAGATTTTGCACTTTATATTAAAGTTATTGCCTTGCATATAGCAAACAATATGTGTGTGACAGTGCCATCAACATGACAGAGACCCTAAATGTACTTTAAATGTAAGTTATCAAAATTATCTTACATTTATAAATTGGGGTAAAACAAACAGGGCAAATGCAGATAGAACCTTCTAATTCTAACAAGTTATTTTTCACTTGGAATTATAAGATTAATGAAGCATTGATTAACAAGACACAATTCAAAAATATAAAAATTGGTGTTGTAACAATATGTTGATGCTTGAGAAAGTATTTTTTTTTGCTTTCCATCACATTTATTTAATGTTTTAGGATGAATATTTTTTTCTTGTTAAAATTAAGCATACAAGGCTGTGCTAAATATTTGTCTAGTGCAGCTGTTAATTTTATGTAATCAATATGGTAATATTTTTTTTAGATTTTATGCTTTATATGAACTATTGTATTTTGTTTATTAAATTATATGTCCTATGAATTAAACTATTTGCCCTTCAAGGCTTATTATTAAACTCAAAGTATTTAAAAGAAAACAGACAAAGATCAAATGGGTGTAATAAACACTAAACAACATTTCACTGACTATATATTCACAAATACAAATATTTCACATTTAATATAACTCTAGTTCCAGGTTTCTAAATTTTGTGTGCTGCAGCATTATTTAGTCGACTCTGATTTTGTGTTTCTTTCTGGGGTCTGTTCTTCGTACGTGGATTACTCAATTAGCTGGATTTGGACTTTGAAGATTTGACATGATCCAGGATCGTTTCGTTCTTCAAAATTCATCTGAGAGTTGTTGTCATAGTGACAGTTCTGATAGATCAAACCTGCGTATGAGCAGGTTCATTTCATATAAACAGGGTTAGATCGGGTAAGTTCAAGTAAAGATAATACTGAAAGTATGAACTGAATTCTATTTCTTACAGTAGTTATATACACTTATAATTTAGGGTTGGGCATCTAAGCTATAATGCCGATCTGATACGCATCTCGATACAAAGAATACGATCCGATATATTAGCGATACATTTGTGACATATTTCGATGCAACACGATACGATTCACACCCATATCACGATACAATGCGATAATTTAGCACTAACTAATTAGATCAAGTTTATGAGATGATGTGAAAGAGGATGCTGTGCCATTGAATGAGTTTGATTATTTATTAACAAAGCAAAACCAAGACTTTTTTTACAAACTGGCTTTTCTCTCAGAGCCAGAGTGTCAGTTTACAGTAGAGGGCCATTTTAGAACATATAGCACATATTATTTAAGTATTTTCAAGATAAGCAAAATGTATAAGTGCAATAAATATTAAAAATACATATATTTGCACTCTTTCAACATAAAGGTTTAGCATTGCACAACAAGAATTGTGATTTAACCTTTCAACTATGAAAACAAGTTTTACAAAGATATATTGTGCCACTGAATATTTAAAACTTAAGGTCGTGAACTAGCAGTGTTATGCTGCTTTGAAACATCACTGTCACTGTAAACAACAGGCTAATAAAAATATAAATAAATAAAAATTAACAGGAGGTGTTTAAAACCTTTGTTCTCCGTGACACTAGGCTGAATATCTTTGCAGATGAACAATGCAATAGCATTCGTTATTGGCATAGAGCGCACAAAACTGTTGCGCATGGAAACAACATTCAATGCTTTTCTCACCACTTTTGGAGCTGGTAGCTACAGTTGAAGCAGAGCAGGAAGCCGGGGATGCAGGAACACTGGAAGATGCTTCCACAACAACACCGTGGCGCCGCTTCAAGTGAGATATCAGATTAGTCGTACTGCCTGTGTATTTTACAGATGCGCGGCACATTTTGCAAATTGCATCTGTCTTGTCAAGTCGTCCATCCTTTTTGCAAGATCCATAATGTTGCCATACTTTAGATTTAAAACTCAGTGGGGAATAAAATGTTTGTTTTGCTTCTCGCGCTTTCTGAGGGCGCTCCACTAGCTTCATTCGCATACCTGATACACTGAGTTGTGTACACATCCGTTGTGTACACATCCGCAAGTCCGCAAGTCCGTTGCTACTTTATGTAGGTCGATTAAATTATGCGCCAAAAACAGGTTGACAACACTTGTTAATAAATAAAAAATACATTCTATGTTAAAAATATAAGTTGTATCTTGGAAAAAACAATCCATCTCGCAAAAACCGATGCATCTCGATTTGCTTTCAAAATTTCATTCATCCTCTGTTGCTCTACCGATGCACTCGCATCGTGCACGTGCATGACCGCATATCGATACATATCGTTTAATCTTCCCATCCCTGTTATATATATATATATATATTAATAAAACAAATGCAATCTGCACTCCGAAATAAAAGACTGCCACCTGGTGGTTCAAGGTGAAAACTTATTCATGCACAATATGTGCACTAATATGCTGGTGATTGACACCTTTACCAATATCAAAATGCTTTTTTGATGCAAAATTAATTTATACAATTATTCCTTACGCTGATCTCACTGCTGATCATGATTTTGAGTATCGATAGATCTGTCCTTGACAACACACGCAGCGATCTCAAATCAGTTCATCCAGACATTTTAATCTGATTCACAAACTTGTTTGAAGAACCAAATTAGATCAGTTATCAAGATTAAAAGATCCAGGATCTGCCAAATCATCTTAGATCATTTATGCAAGGTAGGAAGAACGGACCCCAGGTCTCTTCCGCTTCTTAACAAGAAGAACCTTATAGAGTCAAGCTAGAGTTTTTAGATAAAACCTTTTTTTTTTTTTTTTTTTGGTAAATAAAAAGTCTTTAAATGTAAACAACTTTAAAAAAAAAAAACATCTCATAATGTAAATAAGTTGTAATTGAATAAAAATGTCAAACAGAACTTTATAATTCTAAGGTGATGATCGATATATATATATATATATATATATATATATATATATATATATATATATATATATATATATATATATATATATATATATATATATATATATATATATATATATATATATATATATATATATATATATATATTACATTTCAGTAGTTTAGTACCTTCTCCTTGTGTCATTCCATTGTTATTACAGATAACTATATTTTTAAAAAGATTTTTGTTTTGTTTTATTTGTATGTTTGGGTTGTTGGGGTTTTCAACAGCTCCTCAAGAAACATTATATTTACCATGAAAATGAAAGATGTGTTCAATATTTATTTTACCCACTATATATGCACATATACAGACAATGGCATTTCCATTAAATCATTTACCTTCCCCACATAGGCCAGCAGTCGGGCGTTGAGAGGACTTTCATCTGAACTTAACCAGAACTCAGAGTTATCATCAGAAGAAACAGCAAACTGAAAATCACCTGGACAAATGAGAACCAAAAACATGGTGAGCAACAGGTTCTTGTGCTGTACTGTATGTACATAGTATACTTATTTCATAACATGTATGTGTGTAACTGCAAGAAAATGTTGCCTTCGCATAATTTATCTCATTATTTTTTTAACAAATAAATAAATATTGACTTGAATATCAAAGAGTATTTACCATCCTTATAAGGTAGAATGTATCCAAATATTCTCAGGCCATAGTTCTTCCATTTTGGAGCCACAGCCAACTTCTTTACAGTAGTTCTCGTCTAGAGGGATTAAAAGTATGAGATTAATATGTTAAATAACATTGTGGTGGATGAGTTGGATGATTGAGGTGTAGGGTTAAGGTGATATAAATCATCTCATATCCTGACAGCGATACACAGTCAGAATTATTAGCCCTACTGAATGATAAGCCCCCATGTATATTTTTCCCCAATTTTTAATGTAAAGATTTTATTTTCAACACATTTCTAAACATTAAAGTTTAATAACCCGTTTCTAATAACCAATGTATTTTATCTGTGCCATGATGACAGAAGATAATTTCGTACTAGATATTTTTTAAAGATATTAGTATTTAGATTAAAGTGACATTCAAAGGCTTAACTATAAATAGGTTAACTAGGCAAGTTTGGGTAATTAGACAAGTCGTATAATGATGGTTTGTTCTGTGGACAATAAAAAACAATATTGAGTCTAAAAGCATTGACCTCTAAATTGTTATTCTAGCCGAAGAAAACAAAAAACAAAACAAAAAAACAAGGAGATACTAGGTTTCCATGCAAAAATGTGAATTAATTTGTGTGCAAAACTGGAATATCACATAAAAGACTTGCAAAAGAACAAAATCGACATTTCTTGATTAATTGGCCAACAGTAAAAATTGAATTTCTTGTGGCAGGAGAAGCGATGTAAATATGTTCTTCATTTAAAAAATTACTTGCACCTCAGAAGACTATTTCGACACACAATGAACATGTTGCATTTAAAGGTGTGAGACACGGAGCACAGATGCTCTTGACAGTTCTGGAGGTAAATCATAATATAATAACACTAATACTAGAAAGGTTAAGGCATTTTAGAATGACTAAAAACGCATTTCAGATGTTTTACAGAGGGATCAGTCTGCTGGCTTGTCCACACATTGTCAGCAAACTTTTTAATAATTACATGATCTTTTATAAAAAAAAAATCGCATGACCTTTTTTTAAGGCGCAAACTGGAATTTGTTCGGTAAAAGTTTTTCCATCGTAGTTTATGCACATCTTTTCTTATTAAGTAAAAAAAATATCTTAATCAGTTATGATTAAGTTATGATCATCAGCGATCTAGTGGTTGTAAACCGCTAACACACTACAAATCTGCCATTATGGACTACAAGATCCGGTCAACCACCACACACATTCACAACCAGTTCCTGATCATGACTGATTGGTTACACACAGCCGGAGGATTGTTACGAACTGATTACATGGACTTTATAAACAGCGCACACACAGACTTTATTGCTGAGTTTTGTTGAAATGTTAACATTACGACGCGGTTTCCCTTGCCTTGCCCTGCCATGTTTTAGACCCTCGCCTTGTCTTGTTTGATTGTTCCTGTCTGCTGCCTGGCTTTTTGACCATCTGCCTGTTTATCAACCACGACTCTGGATTTGCCTGTGTATATCTTATTGCCCCTGTGTTGACCATTGCTTGCCTCACTATCCTGCTATTAAACCCTGCGTTTCCCATGTGACACCCAGACATGCAAAGATATTTTTTATCTGCATTTTTAAAATGCATCCAGATTGGAGAAAGAAAAAGTATTACTGTACTTTATACAATGTATTTTGCGACACAACAAAATAAACAATATGAAGTATAATATATATAAAAAATAATATGAAACAATAGACTTTTTATTTTGGCAATACGATAAATACACTGGGCGATGCAGTGGTTCAGTAGGTAGTGCTGTCGCCTCACAGCAAGAAGGTCGCTGGTTCGAGCCTAGGCTGGGTATGTTGCCGCTTCTGTGTGGATTTTGCATATTTTTCCAGCATTCGCATGGGTTTCCTCCAGGTGCTCCGGTTTCCCCCACATGTCCAAAAACATGACGTACAGGTGAATTGTTTAGGCCAGTGGTTCTCAAATTTTTTTCATCAAGTACCACCTCAGAAAAAAATTGTCTCTTCAAGTACCACCAAAATGAGCAGTATTGAAATATAGTAGCGTAGTAGGCCCAGTAAAGCAGCTACAACTCTGCACAGTTAAAAAAAATTTGGCAGATTACTTTAGAAATATAGGCTATATGTCATATATGGCTTATTATGTACATAATTTTTGATAAATTTTGAAATGTGTGTAGCATGTACATCACATATTTAATTCCTCCGCGTATCACTAGAAGGAAGCCTGGGTACCACTAGTGGTACACTTACCACAGTTTGAGAACCACTGGTTTAGGCTAAATTGTCTGTAGTGAATAAGTGTGTATGGACGTTTCCCAGAGATGGGTTGCGGCTGGAAGGGCATCCGCTGCGTAAAACATATGCTGGATAAGCTGGTGGTTTATTCCACTGTGGGGATCTAAGGGACTAAGCCGAAAAGAAAATGAATGAATAAATGATATATACACTCACCTGCCACTATATCAGGTACATCTGTCCAACTGCTCATTAACACAAATTTCTAATCAGCCAATCACATGGCAGCAACTCAATGCATTCAGGCATGCAGACATGGTCAAGACAATCTGCTGCAGTTCAAACGAAGGCATGGTTGTTGGTGCTAGATGGGCTGGTTTGAGTATTTTAGAAACCGCTGATCTACTGGGATTTTCACGCACAACCATATCTAGGGTTTACAGAGAATGGTCTGAAAAAGAGAACATATCCAGTGAGTGGTTGTTCAGTGGGCGCAAATGCCTTGCTTATGCCAGAGGTCAGAGGAGAATGACCAGACAGAGAGGGGGATGTTTTCTTGACACACTTTGGGCCCATTAGTACTAATTGAGCATCGTGTCAACGCCACAGCCTACCCGAGTATTGTTGCTGACCATGTCCATCCCTTCATGACCACAGGGTACCCATCTTCTGATGGCTACTTCCAGCAGGATAAAGTGCCATGTCATAAAGCGGGAATCATCTCAGACTGCTTTCTTGAACATGACAATGGGTTCACTGTACTCAAATGGCATCCACAGTCACCAGATCTCAATCTAATAGAGCACTTTTGAGATGTGGTGGAACAGGAGATTCGCATCATGGATGTGCAGTTGACAAATCTGCAGCAACTTTGTGATGCTATCATGCCAATATAGAGCAAAATCTCTGAGGAATTTTCCAGTAGCTTGTTAAATCTATGCCACGAAGGATCAAGGCAGTTCTGAAGGCAAAAGGGGGTCCAACTCAGAACTAGTAAGGTGTACCTAATAAAGTGACCGGTGAGCGCTAAAATTAGCAGCCCTAAAAAATACCGGGTTCCAAACAATCGTTTAGTTTGACTTTTTTTTTACTAATTTAAATGGATTGAACATTAAACAATTAAACTGTCCCCTACTGTGTTGGTTAAGCTCTTTTTAAATAAGTAGTCTGAAAAAACAACAAACATCAATTTTTGAGTTTGCAGTGCATAAAATTTCTAAAAAAAATTATTATTTGTCACATGTTTACAAAACCAAGAAGATAAAGACTGAGATACAAAAACAAAAGAACAGAGAAAAAGATTTCTGGAAGGGAGAATGTATTTTCTCAGTATGCAGCAGTATCTGCGTTTGGGTTCTGTCAGATTTTTGGTCTGTCATCTATAAAAACAGGCCTGAAAAAAAGGTTGAGAAGGTGGGAGGACTGTGTAGGTGATCTGAACTAAACAGAATTCACAATGAGTTCCGCATACTGTGTAATTCCACCCATTACAACCAGTATGAGCTTTCAATTAAATGAAACCACCCACATGATTGAGAGAATAGTTGAGATTTCAGTCACGCCTTCCAAATCACTATAATCATCAGTGTGAAGGCTGTTCATGATTGATAAAAGAACTAAATGATGTCACAATTGTGGGTTACACTTTACAATAAGGTTCCATTAGTTTGTGTTGGTAAATGTTAACGCGGGGAGAACATGCAAACTCCACACAGAAATGCAAACTGAGCCAGCCGAGGCTCGAGCCAGTGACCTTCCTGCTGTGAGGCAAGAGCACTACCCACTGCACCACCGGATAGCAGAATTTGCATTATAAACATATATTATGTTTTTAGTAATAATACTTCCAAAATCTTCTTCTTCTTCTTCTTTGGCCTTAGTCCCGTATGGTTGCGGGGTTGGCTCTTTGGAACAAGTACACCATTTAGACTTGTGTATATGATCATGAGTTTTTTACACATTCCGGCCGGCCTGTCGTCTGGGCCTGTCACCCTCATACACTCATACACTACGGACAATTTAGCCTACCCAATTCACCTGCAGCATGTCAGCATGACTGTGGGGGAAACCGGAGCACCCGGAGGAAACCCACGCAAATGCAGGGAGTACATGCAAACTTCTCACAGAAATGCCAACTGAGCCGAGGTTCGAACCAGCGACCCAGCGACCCCATGATACTTCCAAAATCATTCCCCATAAATCTGCAGACACAGAGATGATGCCACATTTGCTGCTTGCACTGAATTAAATAACAGAAAGCTGATTGGCTATTGGATGGTTGGTCTCATTTGTAGTTGTAAAACTGGACTAGTAAAAAAAAGGACTACAACACCACAAAATTCTAGCAACAACAACTGAAAATAATTTAAATGAGCATTAGATGTAGCGTTACATGGACATCTGAAAAATAAGACCAATGCAAAAACAATTAAGAACAGCGAATTTAAGACTTTTTAAGAACCAGCAGAAACACTGTAATTCGCAGCAAAACAAAATATTGCAATGTCATTTTAATAATAGCATATTTTCTTTTATGGATTCTTTAGTGGAAACATGCGGACAGGATCTCCTAAAGAGCAAATTCCTCCCAACGATAACATAGCTCCCTGTTTACCCTGCTTTCTGCTAATATTTACTTTTCACTATTTCAGTTACGCGTCACTCGGCTCTCCATGCAAATGCATGCCTGCTGTAGTGCAAGATGTGGGCTGTCTAACCAAACACAACACTGTTATATTACTCTAAAACTCAATTATGTTTTTTTCTCATTTTGTAAACACTGCTGCCGACCAAACCCTCACTAAACAGCCTCACTAAAGCTTGCCACACATACAGTGTTGTCTGTATGTTCTA